AATAGGTAACAATCAGTGAATGGATAGCAATTAAGCCCTCTGTCCAAACTATTAAATTTTATTTGACAAAAACATGTAACATGCCTAAATATGGTCATAATGACATCAAATCATGACCCTATATAGGCACATCATGACCATATATAGGCCCATCATGACCATATATAGGCACGTCATGTATAAATTGGCCTAACAACCGTTTTTTGTCAAAGAAATTTTGATAATCTCGACGAAGTTTTACCTTGTGAAGTTCCGTATGTGTGGTCAAACGTAGGGCCAGTGCCAGCTGAATCTGTCGATCCAGATGCTCTGGTCCAATTAAATTGGTCTGATTGGTCTTGTACGAACGTACAAATACTTGGATCTTCAAAATCACACTGGGCGAAAGATGGAACATCGCTTGGAGCTGGTGTTACAACAACTGAAATTACACGAGAAAAAATGTAAAAAAAGGTCAAATATTATTATCTAATATTTATCCATTTCATTTCATTTCTTTCTTTAGGCACAAGTGCCAAGAATATGCCAATCAGTGAACTTAATCACTATTCTACGTGGCATATCCATTAAACGACAGGGGACTGAATGGTCCAGTACACCGGGGTAACCCGGGGTAATCCCCTACTCTTCTCGAAGGATGTACTGGGTTCTTTAAAGCGCACACGAGCCAAACGCGTACACTGGGACTATTTTACAGTCCTTTCCGGAACCATTGGCGCGCGAGCCGTTTGAACCAGCGCCGATATTATAGCTGAAGGTTACGGTGCCCCTAAATTAAGCACTCGGCCAACCATTCGCTTGAAATTGTATTTTATTTATTTATTTTTTTTTGTATTTAGGCACACTTTATTCAAAAATTGAATACACGGCCACATGGCCCAATAGGTAAAACATAACTGGCACGCAAACCAGAGTCACCATGAAAAAATCTTGAGGAACATGCAACGGAATTTAATCACTTTTTTTTTTGTTTTTTTTTTTGTATAATCATTTATTTTATTATTACACCTAATTTACTTATTTATTTACTTAATTTGGTAAAGTATGCGTTCAACCATCCTTAAGTTTTTGTGTTTTGTGTTTTTGATTCGCTTGAAATGAAGGTATATCCAAGCTCCTATATTAGATGAGTAAAGAAAAGAAAGTTGACTTATATAATTGGTAATGAGAAAATCGGGGACATTTTAAGTTGAATTAAAAAGAATTAACCAATAATTACAAAACAAATAATATGGAATTGCTTTAAGTACTTACTCTGAGGACAGTAGCCTGAGCCTATCTGCACATCATCAAGAGCAATATCTCCGTTGATTCCGTTGCCAACAAGTCCCTCGAACACCACTTTGAACTGACTGCCATACGTAGCTTCATCAAGGTCTACTTGTCCCAGAATCCAGTTGTCACCCTGAGTTCCGGTAAACGCAAACACGGGTGACCCAAGATTTGCGTTTGTACCGTCAGATGAAACGTACATATTGAGTGTCCCTATGTTAGAACCATAACTATGGTGCCAGAACCTCACGCATTTCACGCTACCCTGACTTAGGGTTACGTCCGGACTGAGCAACCGGGCGGCATCCTGTGGAATACGAGGCGACGAAGCTTCTATATAGATGTAATAGCCTGCACTATCTGTGGGAAAATTATTTTATCGTAGTAAGAGTAAATATTTAATTAAACAAACAAAAATTCAAATATTGTTCTGTTCTTGAAGTACACATATTAGGAGATTTTAAACAAAACCTTTAAATTGATTAAAAACCAAATTAAGAAAAACTAAGCTAAGAATAGGAACGGCATTATTTTTTTTCAATTGAAAACAAATAAAACTTATAAAAATAAGTAAATAATTCAAACATTTAAATAGGAGCCTATATAAGTTTATTTTGTTCACATACAGGCTTAGGCATATATCTTCTTCGTTAGCCGTCTGAAAGTGGCTTAATTACAGCATGCCATGATTATCAATTTCAATCACATCATAGGAATATTTAAGATCTATAATAATCATCTGACCATTATCCATAACATCGCTATCGTATTGATCATCACAAATCATGGACATGCCGTCATCATCGTCGTAATCATCATCATAGGGTCATCAGCAAATTTATGTAGCTATATTTGTTCCCAAGTTGTCAATCAGGGGCGGTGCCAGGAATTCCCGACGAGGGGTTCAAGCTCCCGGACAAGGAGTCCACACCCCTCCCCTCCCCCTTGCTAACGCCGGTAATGGTGTCAATTGAACTTAAAAGCTGGAAAATCAGAGCACGGTCAAGAATACGCGTTGGTCGTCACACTTGTCCCGCCAACGCACTTACGCAAGTTTACGCTGTAGTTTTGTTTGTAGTCTGTTCCTAAATTGTTTCATATGCATTTTAACAAAAGTTTATACTTACTTCCTAATGTGTGGTCAACCGATGGACCTGTCGTGCCCGTAGGTGTGTCTCCACGATACCTTATCCAATCAAAAACGTCATCCTTTAATTGTGTCCACCCGCAAAAATTGGATTCAAAATTGCAGTCGAACTGTCCATTTATTCCTGGAATAAATGATATTCAAGACTAGTGAGGATCGTATATTTACCACGAAATCCAATAAATTTTCATGTATGGCTATAAATAAGCATTTTGTAGTTCATTTTTCATTCCAACAAAAAATAAATCCAACAAAAGACATCCCTCACAGGTAGAGAGTAAATAATACTAATGGGATCACATGGGATTTTTTTAAATATCCAAAATTAATTAAACCGAACTAGATATGTTTCGGGGTGAGGGTGGGGTGGGGGGCAGGTACTTTCATTAGACAGACCCTTATTTATCCACCTATGCTGTCTACAAACATGAGTTACCATGCAATTTATTGAACTCTTCATACGGCCATTGGAAATGTTGATTTGCTTGCGCACCCGCTTTACCCGTGTTACCTGGCTTCGATAAACAACTGATAAAGTGCAACACCTTACTATTTACACTTCAGAGATCAACTTTTCTCGATAATGAAGTGTCTATTCACCTATAAGATTAAACAAATCAAGTCAAACTAAGGTCAATAACTGTATGGAGATCTAAGCGATTTTTAATATTCCCGAAACTAAAGTTTTCATAACTACTCTCAATCGTAATTAACTTAATTAGTTACAACACATTAAGACGTCATTTTAGTTTCCTTTAGGCCAAATTAAAGCTATAATATGATGCTATTAAGCTTTAGCATTGTGCAGTCTATTGTCAAAATGCTGATGTATAAAATCCCAATCTACTGTGGCGATGCAGTTTAATCGCTGGCCGGGGGAAAACCAATTTTAAACAACTGTAACATTAGAACTACAGTACTTGTCACATAAATCCTTATATTAATATATATAGGCCTACTAGCCTTTGAAATTTAGCTGATTTTGATGGTGTTTGGCAAGTAGAAAATTTCCAAAAGTAAGTAATATAACTACTTAAGCTATGTGAAGATTATCAAATTTTCTTTGACAAAAAAAAACACCAAAAAACAAAAAAACTTGTAGGCCTACTAGTATGCCCATATAAAGTCATGGTGTGCGTCGTATTTTGATGTCAGTATGACAATAGGCATATCACATACTCTAGACATGTGCTTTAGTCCTAATTAGTTGCTTTATATATACTTTAAAATATAATATATTTTGGATGGTCATCAAATTCGTGAGAATGGCCTCTGCTCAGCCGCTTTGTATGCGTCATTATTTTATTATATTGCATCATGCGTTCATTTCTAAACCACAATATGAAATAATCTAAAAGAACGCATTTTAAATATCGTGAAATTTAGCAGCATCAAATATTATTTTATAACGATGCCGAGAGAAGCAAAATCGGAGCAACTCTCATCCGCAGGATTACCGGTAACTGTTCCCTAAATAGGCTTAGTGTGGTATAGAAATTAAAACAATGATCGTAAGGAAGAGTATATTGGTGATAAAAGTGGTAACCATAATAATATTGGTGGTGGGTGATTGTGATGATGACGACAATACACTGGCGGATACTAGGGGGCCAGCCGGTCCCCCTCCTAAATTGTTACAGTAAAAGTTAATTTAAGTCTGAGAGTGCCATTTCCAGTGATTTATAGGTGCCATATATTTCCTTACCTCAGCCCAACCATTGTGGAGCTGAGGGGATCTAGGTAATCCATCTTTTAATGTCCCTTCCTGGCCCCCCAATACTTCAATGTCCTGGATCTACCATTGCGATAAAGAAGGAGTAGGTGGAGATTAGGGCCTAAATTAATGGTGATGAGGATGATACTACTGATGATGATGAATACGATAATAGGTCTAACGATGTTGATAATAATACTGATAACGACATACTTTTAAGTAATTTGCAACTTACCTGTTAAACAGGATAATAATGCTATGAAAAACACGATCTTCCCAGGTCCCATGGCGAGGACCTTGAGTTCTACATCCAATACAAAAAATATTTTATACGTTCAAAATTCAACGTATATATTGCTAAATTTTACAAATATACAGTCCTGTTTATGAACGAGGGTTTTTTAATCGAGTCCCTGTGACCACTGTTTGTGAAACAGTCTGTCGGTATTGGGACCAGTAATGAAATTGATCCTATTTAATTCGATATCATTAATATTACACGGTGATGGGTCCGCCAGGTAATTTTAGTGTCACGTGACGTCTAATTGCCACCCATTTGCAGGTAGCAAATCACTCCCTGGCAAAAAATTAACCAGAGAGATTAAATCTGTTGATACGGTGCCGGTAGGAGACACCCAGTAGACCTACACGCTACTTGTCTTATCTTAACATGTCCTCAAAGTTCAATATCTGAAAAAACATGCCTTTAAATGACCGATAATTTTACATGTAGGCCCAATTCATTAATTAATGTTGGTATGTGTCAAACCTTTATTCGATAGGACACTGGAATCGTTTTAGATCTCGATATGAGGCTGTTAAATAAAGCTGATCCAAACTTTAATATGAACAGATTGTTCTAATAACTGAGCAAGTTTGAGGCCAACAATTGAATTTCACAATTTTAAAAAGTGTGTTTAAAAGATAAGCTTAAATGTATGTTTCATTTGATCAGGCACTTTATCTAACTGCTTCTCTCCGGCTGCCTACTATTACGCCGACGCGATACGGCTGCAACACTTCTGGTTATTTGTGGTCGGTTATTTTGTCTTAATTAAGATAAAACCACGCCTTGATCTCTTGTTTAATATAAACTGCCTTTATCAACTATTACATATATTAAACAACCTTGTTTTCGAACATCAAATTAGAAAATATATTGGTAATATAAGACCTATATCATATTTTGTTTGACTAAAATAAATAAAATATGTGATATGTCACAAACAACGTATGCCTATAGCCATTCCAGGGTTGTAGATAGTGCACTAAAATACAATTTTTAGATTATGGGCCTAACATCGGTCGCTAGTTCAAAGGCCTAGACATGTTCAACAAGCACGACGATCTTCAGTGGTCGGTTATTCTGTCATAAGATAAAAAAAATCGCCTCGATCTCTCGTTTAATAGAATTTAACTTTATCAATCCATTTCGACTATGATATAGGCTATCGTCACTATACCAGTCCGTTTGTTCCAGTTAGCTTCTCTATGCATTTAATTACCATAACAAAAGATAAATACTATCATTAATAAATTGCAATTGAAATCAATTTATGTAAACCAATTGTTCAATGACTTCAAATTATTCTCTTTTTAGAATTTATACTCAATGTGACTTTAGTCAGTGTAAATGAAAATTTATATAACATTACGTTTTATATTTTCTGCTTCAATCTATGAACCTTATGTACGGGTCGTAAGATAAAACATCGGTACCTCACAAATACTACATATGATTTATCAGTAGCTAGGTTCATAGTGCAACGTACCCAGGTACTAAATTGCCTGGAAATAGCTGTTATGGTTTAAGTTCCTACAGTTTCCCGATACATTTTGCTGATTAGGCTGATTGGTGAATTCAACTAGCCTAGCGTAGTGTAGTCGACTTTGTCACCAATGAAAAGTGGAACAGCTATGGAATAATAATAATTTGTCGTTCTTATATAGTGCTTCATGCACAAAGCCTCTAAGCACTTCACATTACTACCCCGGTCATTGGATCAAACACATATGGAACACATACTCAACACCAAATTCAATTATTAAATTAAATTATATTAGGCCTATTATTCCATAATATTGCAGCAAGTAATCAGCGCAGTTGTGTTGGAACCTACCAGGTACGTACCCACTTGTACCCCTGGGTGGAGAGAGGCTACCGTACATAAAGTGCCTTGCCCAAGGAGAGAGGTAACCGTTTAGATGAAGTGCTTGCCCAAGGACACAAGCGATTTGCACAACGAGAGTTTCGAACCCCTGACCTCGTGATTGGGCGTCCAAGCCAAAACCGATGCGCCAAGTGCTTCTAAAAAATCAAGACCATGTGATGTTATGACAATGAAATACAATATCATTTGACCTTATTTCTACCCTCCTGTTATACCCCTACTTTTGGAGTCATTAGGAGGTCGGCTCTCCCCACCAACTCCTGCGTCAGGAGAAATAACACGAATCGATGTTTGTCCTACCCGACGTATTATAGTACTGCATGCTCAGTACGTTCCCAAATACTTGCGAAGAAATGTATTTATCATTGTTTAATCATTCTTATCACAATCATTTCATCTATCTAAATAATAATAACAGCAACAACAACAACAATAACAACAACAACAACAATAATAATAATAATAATAATAATAATAATAATAATTATTATTATTATTATTATTATTGCAATACATCAATTAAACCTGATCTAAAAAAACTCGTTCTATCAACATAACCTCCAATAAACTCTTCCCAGCTCAACTTATAATAATGGATTCTCATCGAGAGTGAATGTTTATACTTAAATAATGATAATTATCATTTGCAATTCTATTTAACCGGAAAATAAAGCCGTTAGGCCGAAAAAAGTAGAGTTATTTCGCCTTTAACGGCTTTTGTTTCCATGTTTTAATGTATTTTTCCCATATTATCTGAGTGTCACTTTCACATTTTAAACTCATTTCAAGCTGTAAGCACGACATGTAGACAATAGTAGGACTGCTCTCGTGTAAGACCTATAACAAATTGGACTAAATGTAAGTAGCTAACTAAAATTTGTATCAGACAGAATACACAGTCTTAATAATAAAAACAGATAACACCTATTTTCACCTACTACATTCAGTGGCGCATCTAATGGGTGCGCACGCCCCACTGCACCCAAAACATGTTGCGCCCCAGACGCCCTAAGTTGTCGCCCATTGAAATGTCAGAAGTAAAAATGGGGGTGGGGCGGAATGATGTCCCAGGCGAGAGCAAAATGAGCGTGTTTTGCCGCTGCTCAAAACGTTTGGAAATAGTCCAGGGGGCGAAAAAAATATGGCAATTTAGAGATTTCATGAGATGGGGAGGGGGGTTGGGGTAAAAATGTCACGCTCAAGTAGTTAACAATCACCTCATATCACCTTATTCTCCGATCTAGCTCCCCATCACTTAATCGTCAAGCCCCACTCCACCTTTGCGCCCCTCCCTATTACCCCTTCAATTCAAGACTCATATACACCACCACTATTATAATCAAACGATTTATAGTGGTTCAGAAGCTTTAGGACAAACACTTAAATGTGTGAAGAAAGGCTAGTAGCGCATTTGTTCAGACTTAAATCAGTTAGCATCATTCCTTCTTTATTTGTTAATTTTACCTATCAGTAACAAAATGTCAATAACCCACAGCAGGCCCGTAGCCAGGGGGGGGGGGTTTATGGTTCGGGCGAACCCCCCTTTTCTAGCGAACCCCCTCGAATTTTTGAATGAGTCCCACCCGTTTTTAAATTGTAGCCTGCGATACAAGCCTACATTCATAGAATATCTCAGCTTCAGAAGTTCGGAGATTTAAATTAAAACGCAATTCTGGCAAACCATGACTTTACGATGGCACACATAAGGATGGCAAACATCGATAAAAACCCGGCTGCCGTCTCAACTTTCACTGGCCTTTGGCTGAATGTTTGTAAGAAATGTACCAACCGGTAACGAAACCGGTCGCCGTCTACCTAGAGTAAATGGTGCCACCAAACGAAGCTAAAGTTTTGCGACTTAATCCACCAAATGCAGCTAAAGTTTTGCGACTTAATCACCTGATTGTGGATTGTGTGGTTAGTAAATTCCATACTCCATAGTCATACTGTCCATAGCACACACTAAACTATGTGCTGATGGAGCATTTTGGGGAAATGGACTCTCCTTTTTTCATCCCAAACAAAATATTATTAATAAATCAACATAGTCCATCTCAGTCATCATAGCCAGTCACAAAATCTAGGAAGTTTGTTTTCAACAGCAGACACACTACAGAACGGGGTGCGTCAAAACGAGTGTTTGTTAATTTTTAGTGATAAAGAATCATGAAACGTTGTAGAATAACTGCCTTTTGTTCGTCCGCTGTTGCAAAGAAGAAAACGACAGATAGTCCTGGTGGGTTATTGA